GGCCATTAGTAGCAGAATGTTACCACATATCTGGTACAATGTTACGAAATCTTCAATACAGTGTTACCAGACCTCCAATACAGTGTTGGTGTCTTTTCAAAACAATGTCACTGCATCTCTGATACAGTGTTTTCATCCAATAGGGATGGGGCTTGAGAACTACCTCCATAAGTGCATGAGGCTCTGCAGCACCATCCACGCACCCTGACCCCCTCCTTCCCCCTCCTCTCTACAAAATCACCAGCCTGCAAATATTAGGTACAAGGTATCACCTAGTCCTTGTCCTGGCTTCTAATACCACCAAGGCCAAATCCTGTACATCGGCACTTTATGGAGTAGACTCTGCTGAATGCTAGTTTTGCAAAAGGATGGTAAGAAATAAGGGCATAGGAGTTCCCCAAGTTTCAGAAACCTGGGTTTGCATAGTGTGGTCAGCCCCTCCTGTAGAGCCACTCATCCTGGCACCACAAATCTCTCGGGGCTTCCCAGGAGGACTGGAGCTCTGAGGACTGTGGTCCCAGCCTGCTTTGGGAAACGCACCCTCCAGTGTTGCTAACTGCAGCACTGTTCTGGTGTGGACCCAGTTCCCGCCTCACCTGGAGCCTGCCACAGTCCCTGACCTGTGCTCTCCCTCCCCACCGCCTACAACCTATGTGTGTATGGTGCAACCCACACAGCGCTTCCACCAAAGTGCAAACGGAAGCATCTAGCCCAGCGCCTGGCACATGGGAAACCCTCAAAAAATCTACTAAATTAAATGGACTGCTAACTAACCCATGAAGCCTGCCTGAGAGAGACACAGGCGTGAGAGGAATATAAGGGAACATCTGCTTTGCCCTCAGAGCGGTGGGGTGTCAGGTGGGCAGAGAGGTGCACATCAGGACAAGTTGTAAATGGAGGCCTGCCCTCCTGCTGGCGTGAAATGCAGAAAAGTGCACCCCCAGGCCAATGCTCCCCCTCCTTGAGGAGGGACCAGCACCTCTGCCAGCCCTCCCTTCATCCCACACGTTTCCTCAGCCTTCCAGAATGCTGACTGCAGGCAGCCCCGTGTGCTCACATGGCAGCCCGTGACCCAAGGCCTCTGACCCAGGACAGCTCAGGATGCTGACTCTACGGGAAAGGACCAATCGGATGTACAGAAATAGACTTGCCAGTGGACCAAGGTTAGAATTCCACAAAGGCGCCCTATGCTGTGTGAGGAGAGAGCTTAAGACTTTCTCAAAAGCTCAGGCCCTGTGGTGAAGAGAGAATATTGGGGCCCAAACACATCAAATGCCAGTTAAATCCAGAGGCACTGACAAGATGGCCTTCAAGAAGCTGGTTTAATTTCTGACTCCTCCAAACCAGGTACTGGGAAGTAGATTAGAGAGCCTGTTTTCTTTTAGCAGTGCTGAATGACAAGCACACCGAGGGGCAAGACCTCTAAATGGAACTATTCTCCCATAAGGTAATCCAACTCTGGTAGTTCCCTCCCCGGTTGGAGAAAACTTATTCCACGATAAGTTTCTGCCCCCCACCTGACACCGTGTCTGGGCCTGGCTCCCAGCACACCGTCCAATGGTCCAATGCACTCAGTCAACAATAGTGGCAGACAATATGTTTCATCTGCTCCTGTTCAAGCTTAGCCTTCAGGTCAATTTAGCAAAGGAAAGCAAGGTGTTCCGATGCCTCGAGGCCCCTCAGCCAAAGGGAAAGGAGGAATCTTCAAAATGCTGTTTACAACTTGTGCTAAACAAAAATGAGCCCCTATAACCCCTCCCTGAAAAGTGGGCTCGCCCGGTGACAGACGCAAGATGTGACTGACTCACGGCTCACCTTTTTAAAAACCCCAGACAGGAGCAAAACTAACACCAAGGAAAAGTGAATCAGAGTAGGCCGGGGCCTGGGCTGGACAGATGCACAGAGCAGACAGAACTTCTAGGCTCAGGACATTCGTATCTTCATTATGATGATGATTTTGGGGTGGGGGGAGGGTTGTTTATTAAAATTCATCTAACTGTACATTTGGAATGGCAATTTTATTTAATGAAAAATCATACCTCAATAAGATTGGCTTAAAATCAATTAGCAAAAAAACAAACAAACAAACAAAAAAACCAGCATGATTACTCAAACAGTGACCAAAAGTCAAAAGAAGGGGCCTGAAGTCCTCCTCCCCACCTGGGCACCAGGCCTCCCCTGAGCAGCCTTCCTGCTGACAGAGCGGGATCTGGGGCCACCCCGATGGAGGGAACATTCCAGATTTGGAAACCTTAGAACGAAGCTATGAGACCTCTTCCCATTTCCTCTGGACATTCACCCTCCCAACTATGACTGGCTTCAGCAAGTGTTAAAATTAACTTCAAGTTCCTTACCGGAATGCAAATGATAAAAAGAGGAAGTTGGGCTGGGAGGAGCAAGAATAGCCTCTTCAGTCTTAGCCAGAAAGTGGACTTCCTATTCAAAAACTAAACAAAACCCCACACCACAGAGAAAGCTAAAGGGGATGGCCCCTCCCACAGCGGCCCCCCAGCGCTGCTCCATCAGGCTCAGATGTCCACTCCTGAGGGCTTCACTGGCCAGCCAATGTCCTTCCTACTGGTCACTGCGTTTTGTTCCTCACGCTCATTTACTCTGTTGTTTACTCTCCCCTGGTCCCCCCAAGCAAATTCCTTGAGGTCAGGGGCCTGGGGCTAAGCAACTGACAAACACCTGAGTGACAAGGCATGAACACTGAGACCTGAGATCACAGTGAGAGTCTCCACTCCGATCCCACCATTTTCCCTGGGAAATCATCTCATCCATTTCACCACCTCCTTCTCAGGAAGTACAAACACCTCCACCCCTGGCCTCCTCGGAGGAAGCCAGCTCTCGGGGAGCCCCACAGTAGGAGAGCCCTGGCTTACCAGAAGAGGATCCGTAAAATATTGGCCACCAGGAGCACCAGGCACACGTAGGTAGAGAAGCCCTCGGCGTTCTGAGTCCTCCGGATGTCCCGGTACTGCGGGATGTAGGGCACCACCCCTCCGAAGACCATGGCCCCGGCCGCCCCCCAGGAAACCAGCTGGTGCAGCGGGACCAGAAGCCAATCCAAGCCTTGAGCGTCCATCGCGAACCCCCGTGCCGCCCCGCCAGCGGGCTGGCGTCCACCTGGCCGCGTCCCCTCCGCTCCACGGACTCCTGGAACGCGCGCGGACTGTCAGCCCCACATGGCCGCCGCCGGAGCCTGGCAGGGGAGAAGAGGGAAAGAACTGCGGCCGGGCCTCGAGCAGAGGGAGGCGGCGCTCCGCAGGGACACCCGGAGGCACGCGGGACTCCCAGCTGGGGCGCGACTCCCGCCTCGGACGCGCGCGTTCAGGGCGCCCTGGGCGCGCGCAGAGGCATCGCTGGGGGTCAAGGCGCGGGCGCACGGCCCTGGGAACGACGGACTCGGTCTGGAGGAACTCGGTCTCGGAGAGGGATCGGTCCTGGGGACCTGTACAGCGGCGCCCGCCCCGCGCCCCGTCCCACGCGCAGCGCAGATCCCGCCCCGGGCCTCACCAGCCACGCCGGCTCCGCCCGCCCGGCCAGCGTCCGTCAGTCTGCCGGTCCGAGCCCGTAGCCCCGCCTCTTCGTGACGTCACAATGCCAGGGCCCCGCCCACCGTTGCCGGGACGGGCGCCGGCGGGTCCTAGAGAGCAAATCGCGCCGGGAGATGGGGGCCCGGCGCGGAAAGGTGGGGGCTGACACCGCTCGGCCGCGCTCCTGGCCCGCGGTAGGAGATGCCTGCCTGACTGAGCCGCTTTTTCGGGGGCAGGTGCCCGCGTAGACGGTCCCCACATGTCCCCGGGCGAGGGCCATGTAGACTCGGCGCTCAGCCACCGGGAGCGGAGGAGGGAGTCCTGTCATCGCCCCGCAGTCAGCGCGTGGCCTGGGGACCCCTCTAGTGGGGACAGGGGCTGTGTCGGCGGGGGACATCACCCTTCGTGGGGACCAGGGAGCGGCCCCCAAGTGACTCCAGGGGTCCTCCCACGCGGTCATTCTCTGGCGGAGTCGGGGCCCCATCCTGACCCAGGGGACACCCCCCCCCCCCCCCCCCCCACCCCCGAGTAGGATCAGAAGTTCGGGAGTCTCACGGGGTAGGGTAGGTGGCTCTTCTGGGGACAAAGCCCAGCAGCCTCCCAGGGTTCTCAGTGCTCCCGCATCACATACGCTGTTACTGCTCCAGCCCAGCCCCACAGTCTTGCCTGACCACAGTGGGCCCCAGGGCCCAGGACGCTGGGGCTGGGAGTGCACCGAGGCCCAGGTGGGTGGTGGGGCAGGAGGACCCTGTGTGAAGCCAGCCAACCCTGCCCTCCAGGGACCTGAGCAGGTGGGGCTCAGGGACCCCAGGATTCTGTCTATAGAGGAGCCCTATGAGGTCTCCCCTCAACCTCGGCAGACCCTAAGCACTCCAGAAGGAAAGTCCTGGTGGATGAGCGGGTGGCTCCAGGAGCACACACCTGGTCCCCATCTTCCCCTCCACTCAGGTCTGGCTGCTTGCTTCCTACCTGGTAGGTTTTGTGGGAAATCCTAACAGTTACAGCCTGGCTAAGAGCAGCTCCCCAACAAGCCTGGTGTGATGGGGGGGGGGTGGGGGCCTGGAAAGAACCCAGGTTGCTCACACTCCTCTGAGGCAGCCGTCGTGTATTTCTAGTGCAGCCGTCGTGTATTTCTAGTGTCTTAGTAACAAATTAACTTATAGAAAAATTATTTTTTGTGAAATATTAAAGAGCACAGGGAATGACCACTCTGGCCAAGCCCTAGCTGCACCATATAGATAAGACCATAGCTGAATGCTACCCTTAGGAATGACGTATGTAAACATGATAGACACCTTCTGAGTGACACTGTGATAGATAACCAGCTTGTACTCTAACACTTGTGTGATGACATATGTTACTGATAGCCACCTGGACTGCCATGGACTAGAACAGGCTTAAAAACAAGTCCCTGACTTCAGACATTGATCACCTTCTTGATCCACGCTCCACGCTCCACACTCCACGCTCCACGCTCCACGCTCCACACTCCACGCTCCACGCTTCTTGCTCTATGCCCAACAGCAGAATGGCTAAACCTCTGATCACTGATCCATGAGGCTTCTGTCACCCTCCTCCCGCTGACTCGACCCAGCCAGACGGCCAGCCACCCAAAGACAGATCCACTGCTGCCCACAGAAGACACCACTCTTTTCTGGGGACCCTGTTAAGCTTGAGCCCACTGCACTAGGAACCCTGTGAGTAATAAAGTGTGCTGTGTGATTTGCAACTGCATATTCTTGTGTGGCATAATTCCTCTGGCAGTCTTAACTATCCTATATAATAAAGAGGTAAAATGCAAATTGACCCTCACCCCATTGCACAAGATGGCCACCCCCATGTGGTCAAAGATGGCTGCCACGAGATGGCCGGCAAGGGAGGGTAGTTGTGGGCAACCAGGCTGGCAGGGGAGGGCAGTTAGGGACAACCAGGCCATCAGGGGAGAGCAGTTGGGGGCGACCGGGCCAGCAGGGGAGGGCAGTTGGGGGTGACCAGGCTGGCAGGGGGAGGGCAGTTAGGGGCCGACCAGGGGAGTGGTTAGGGGGTGATCAGGCTAGCAAGCAGGCGAGTGGTTGGGAGCCAGCAGTCCCAGATTGTGAGAGGAATGTTCCGGACCTAAACCGGCAGTTGGACATCCCCCAAGGGGTCCCAGATTGGAGAGGGTGAAGGCTGGGCTTAGGGACACCTCCCCCCCCTCCAGTGCACAAATTTCATGCACTGGGCCTCTAGGTCAGATGATAATGCCTACCCTTGGTCCTGCTTGCTTAGAGTAGTCTCTTCGCTAGCAACTACTTAATGTCCGAATACCTGCACGGTTAAGTTTATCTCAAGGGACACCTTGGATAACGCCCCGTATACTCTACTCGGACATCTGGGTTATCACAATTCACTGTCCACTAGAAATGACAGAGAGCATAGCACCAGGCATGAATAGGAAAACAAAAACACAACACAGAGAAGGAAGCCAGATTGGGCTGGAAAGAAACTAGACGTGTTCCTACTTAGCCACTTCCTCCCCAGCTGTAAAGACTCTAGAACAGTGGTTCTCAACCTTCCTAATGCTGCGACCCTTTAATACAGTTCCTCATGTTGTGGGGACCCCCAATTTCATTGTTACAAATTGAACATAATTAAAGCATAGTGATTAATCACAAAAACAATATGTAATTATATATGTGTTTTCCGATGGTCTTAGGCGACCCCTGTGAAAGGGTTGTTCGACCCCCAAAGGGGTTGCGACCCACAGGTTGAGAACCACTGCTCTAGAATGTTCCATTCTCTCTGTTCTAGAGGTTAGAGGAAGGACACCGGCTGCCCTTCTGGCACTGGAGCATCTGGGTCAGGCTGTTGACCCTGTTTTCCTGGCACATATAGGCAAATTGGTGGCCAGCCCAAAGCCACCTGCTACTCTGAGTCCATCAGGCTTTTTTGGGGGGAGGGGCATCCACACCAGGGAGCACCACCAGAGTCCACTCAAGGCTGGGCAGCCTTGGGGGTAGCCAGGTTTGAGAGCCACTGTTTTAAAAAACAATACCCAATATAGGAAATCCTCAGGACTCAGAATAATTTGCTTCCAGGAAAAAGGCCATTACTTTCAATGTGGCCAAAATTACAAAGTAAAAAGTTAGTTTAAAAATAAGCCTTGGCCAGTGTGACTCAGTTTGTTGGAGAATTGTCCAAAAGGTGGTGAGTTGAATTCCCGTCAGGGCACATATCCAGGTTGTGGGTTCAATCCCCGGTCAGGGCAGCAACTGATCTCAATGTTTGTTTCTCTCTCTCATTCTCTTTCTCTCTCTCTCTCTCTCTCTCTCTCTCGCTCTCAAAATAAATTAAGTTTAATTGAAAAATAAAAATAGTTGATAATATTGCATTAAAATATGAAAGCTAGCCCTAACTGGTTTGGCTCAGTGGGTAGAGCATCAACCTGCAGACTGAAGGGTCCCAGGTTCGATTCCGGTCAAGGGCATGTACCTGGGTTGCGGGCGCATCCCCGGTGGGGGGTGTGCAGGAGGCAGCTGATCGATGTTTCTCTCTCATCGATGTTTCTAACTCTCTATCCCTCTCCCTTACTCTCTGTAAATAGAGTAAATCAGTAAAATATATATATATATATATTTTTAATATATTTTTATTGATTTTTTTACAGAGAGGAAGGGAGAGAGATAGAGAGTCAGAAACATCGATGAGAAACATCGATCAGCCGCCTCCTGCACATCCCCCACCGGGGATGTGCCCGCAACCCAGGTACATGCCCTTGTCCGGAATCGAACCTGGGACCCTTCAGTCCGCAGGCCGACGCTCTGTCCACTGAGTCAAACCGGTTTCGGCAGTAAAATATATTTTTTTAAAAATCATATATGAGCATTTATTCCAATACCATTCTCAGTATGGGAGAGCAGCAGGTCATTCACAAAAATCTGCTCTGCAGGCCCCCCTCCCCCATAAGCCAGCTGCTTATATAAAGTAGGACAAAGATTACATGGGGAAGTAGGGATTACAGGCATGGGGAAGTAGGAGGCTGGGGGGGACTCTATTGTTTGGGCAAAAAGGTTGTTAATCTTTCCATGATAATAGGCAGTTCTTGAATGAGAACGATTCCAAGGTTGTCTCCTAGGTCCTGGGGGTGTACAACTCCCAGCCAGGTCAGAATGTCCTTTCTTTTTTTCTTTTTTAATATATTTCATTGATTTTTTTTTTTTTTTTTTACAGAGAGGAAGGGAGAGGGATAGAGAGTTAGAAACATCAATGAGAGAGAAACATCGATCAGCTGCCTCCTGCACACTCCCCACTGGGGATGTGCCCACAACCAAGGTACATGCCCTTGGCCAGAATCAAACCTGGGACCCTTCAGTCCGCAGGCTGACGCTCTCTCCACCGAGCCAAACCGGTTAGAGCAGAATGTCCTTTCTTTAACCAACACAAGGCAATCATGGTTAACAGAGCCTGATTAATATTTCCCATACCCATAGCTAGTCCCCAATATCCTATCTTTGCCCCTAACATTTCCCCACTGCTATTTCTAAAATCTCGTATCTATGAGATTAGTTTTAGATGAAAAATCTCATCCTGCTGGACCACATCTGCTTCTGCCTTGAAAGCAGTTCCCAGGGATGGAATACACCAAATGCAGGATCTTGGATATATGTTCTATCAACTGAGAATTGTCAGAAGGATTAAAACAGCACACTCCTTTAAATTCCTCACAACTGTGGTGATGCTGCAGCAGCAAATAATCTACCGCTGCCCGATTCTCTAGAACTACCTCCCTGACCTGGCTCAGCTCTTGATTTAACCCCTAGATAGCCCTGGAAGTGGCATTCAGGGCTTTTACCATGCCAAAAGCCAGCCCGTCACTTCTACATTAAGGGAGCCTGCCATTACCAGCGTAACAAAAATGGCCAAAGCAATACAGGCAGCAGGGCTCCACAGGTGGAGATCGTCATTGCAGTCCGGTGCCACGGCCTTGAGAAAGCCTCTTTTGGTTCAGACCCTGTGATGTTTCTGAAGCATAAAGGCAGTCAGTCATCCTAAGGAACAGCCACACACACACACACACACACACACACACACCGTGCTGTTAGCGGGGATAATTCTTTTGTCTCACATTTTGCTTCTGCTATTGTTATGTGTCTTTGCTTCCACAAATAGGCATTTCTTACTCAGACCCTTTTCCTCCCCCTCTGTGTCCTGCACAGTGTATCACCACTTACTTTCTGCAGCTTCACAGCACACCTTCACATTCTCACATTGTAGATCTCCAAGGTCAGTTGCAGTAGCGGACTTTCCCCCTGAACCTAGTTCCTGAAACTTAATATTCTTAACAAAATGGGTGTCTGTTGAGTGATTCTCACTTCCATATTAATGAATTTGCCGCCCACAGATGCAGGATTAAGAATTCGATGCCTAACTAGGCAGCGTAGGTGAAAACCTATCCAGGTGCTCAGTGTGAAATGACAGATCCTATTTCTCCAGTAGAGATTGGGTCTCAGGGTCATCAGAGAATGTCTGAGTAGGTCCCCATTCGACCAGAGAGATTACAGTTGAGAAAAATATTTTAAAATACAAAGGGCGAGGGAGAAAGAATCATGGGTACAGGGATTCTTAGCCTAGGGTTTAGAAGGTTAGCTGGGAAGATGTGCTTTTAAAAAGATATATTGTAGTAAAATATGCATAACATCAGATTTACCATCTTAACCATTTATTTTTACTTTTACTTTTTGATTAATCCTCACCTGAGGATATTTTTTCCATTGACTTTTTAAAAATATTTATTAAATTAATTGGGGTTACATTGGTCAACATGAACATATAGGTTTCAGGTGTGGGTTTCTATGTTCCATTGACTTTTATTTTTATTATTATTTTTTAAATATATCTTTATTTATTTCAGAGCGGAAGGGTGAGGGAAAGAGAGATAGAAGCATCAATGATGAGAGGAAATCATTGATCGGCTGCCTCCTGCATGCCCCCCACTGGGGATCGAGCCTACAACCCAGGCATGTGCCCTTGACCAGAATCGAACCCAGGACCCTTTAGTCCACAGGCTGATGCTCTATCCAATGAGCCAAACTGGCCAGGACTCCATTGACTTTTAGAGAGAGAGGGAAGGAGAAAGAAACAGAGATGTGAGAAACATCAATTGGTTGCCTACTGACAGGCCCCAACCTGGGCCAGGGATCAAACCTGCACCCAGTTATCTGCCCTTGACCAGGACCCTTTGGTGCAAAGGCTGATGCTCTAACCACTAACACTGGCCAGGGCCATCCTAGCCATTTTATATGCACCGTTCAGTAGTGTTAACGTAAAAAAAAACATTGAAACCTGTAAAGAATTTTTGTGAGTTTATTTGAGCCAAACTGTCGACATATGCTGGGAAGCAGAACCTCAACGAATTGAGATAGTGCTCCGGAGAATGGCGGGATTACATCCGTATTTATACATTTGCAATCAAAGGAGGGACTTAGGTGGGTTACATGAAATTCATTGGTGACAGACTAAGGAGGAGGGATTAAGCAAAGCGGGGGGGGGGAACCCCTGGGATTGGATAAAAAGTAAAATGATGGACACATACTTAGGTGGGTGCAGGATCAATTAACATGATAATGAAGGAATTTGTAGTATCTGTCCTGGGACCCAGCACATTTGGTTGTGCCCCAGGGGCTCCAGATAAAGGGAAGTCACAAGTTACCCAGACATTTCAAGCGTATGTTATAGATGCAAAAAGACAGATAGGCTCAGTTAAGGTAAAGGTTGACCTTGTCAGTGAAGATACTGGCCCAGGACGTAACTGCCCACCATAACTGCTTTTAGTTAAAGTTTAATTTCAGACCATCCTTTGTGGTTACTTTAGGTCTCTGAGTTTGCAAGACTGCCATGCAGGCCTCCTCTGAGCTTGTCAGGTCAGCATGTGGCCCCTTTCGTCCACAGTAGCATTAAGTACATTCACATGAAGACGGAGTAGACAGTGGGTGCCAGGGCCTGGGGGAGAGTGAGTGTTTAATGGGACAGGAGGTTCAGTTTGGGAAGATGAAAGGACTGTGTGGGTGGAAGGTGGTGAGTGCTGCACAACAATGAATGTGCCTAAAACCACTGACCTGTGCACTTGACAATTGCTAAGATGGTACGTTTTATGTTGTGGACATGTTATTATTATAAGAAGAGGAGGAGGGGGGGGAGCAGGAGGGGGGAGGGGAGGAGGAGAGGGAAGAAGAGGTGGAAGAGGAGGGGGAGGAGGGGGAGGAGGAGGAGGAGGAGTTCATGCTAGATCTATGGCTACCTCTTTCATCGCCAAAGTGATGAAAAAAGCAAACCAGAGCTGTGAGACCACTCAGACCAAAGGCCTTGTCCCTGCAGAGAGTCCCAGCTCCGCCCCAGGGACGATGACAATGACCTTCAGGATGAAGCCGCCACCCTCCCAGGCCTTCTCCCAGGACCTGCCTGCAGCTTCAGCGTCTCCCGGCTTGGGCAGCCACGCCCCGCCCAGGAATTCACCACCCACTGGCACCTAAGTTGCTGGCGGCTGCAGCTCGTTCAAGCTCTCAGGTGTTCACTCCGCAGCCAGAGCCCTGCCAGAGCCACCGCTGCGGGTACCAGATAGGATCACGGCGGCGCTGACCCACCAGAGCCACCTGAACCCCCTGGACCGCTGGCCCACCCGAGACCACATGGAGGCGCAGGGACACGAAGACCCGGGGGGCGCGCTGCGGGAACTGGTGAGTGGGGACCCCGCCCCCCTCACCTCCCTCCTGGCCCTCCCGGTGCTTCACCCCTTCCCGGGCCAGGGATGGGGGTGGGGACGTGCGGGTGCCCTGCTGTAGGGGGCAGCCCGGCAGTGCCCCCCACCCACACTCCTGCTGGCAGAGACCAGGAAGCACATTTAAGCAGTGGTTCTCAACCTGTGGGTCACGACCCCTTTGGCGGTCGAACTACCCTTTCACAAGGGTCGCCTAAGACCATCCTGCATATCAGATATTTACATTACGATTCATGACAGTAGCAACACTACAGTTATGAAGTAGCAACGAAAATAATTTTATGGTTGGGTCACAATATGAGGAACTGTATTTAAAGGGCCAGAAGGTTGAGAACCACTGATTAAAAGGCTGATGCCTATGTCTTGTTAAAAAGAATTTGTCAGATGTTGGTACTTAAACCTTTTTCCCCAGGAAGGCAAAACCCACTCAAGGAAGGAAACAGCTGCTGGCAGCTGGCAGCAATCTTCACACAGAAATGCAGGTTCTAGATTGCAGGTTCCTGATAGATCCTCCCTTCCCCCAACTGGTGGGCGGGGTATGACATAACCTGCAGCCCAGAAATACCTGAGTGACTAACCAGGTACCTTATATGGACTATACATTGGACCACCAATCCACACCTGCCAAATACCCTAAGCCCTTGTCCTATATGGACAATGCAGTAAGCCACCAATCAGTGTGCGCCAAGTACACTAAGCCCCCCACCCCTTCCCATTCCGCCCCTCAAAAGGCGGGCCTGCACATGTTGCTGTCTTCCCCTTGTGAGGCAGCCCGGCAGGTGCTTCTCCTCTAATAAAGCCTGTAGTCCTGGTTTTAGGCCTCCATCTGATCTTTCAGTTCCCTACTCTGTGGAGATAATCCTTGAGATTTCATTTGCAAAGTATGAAGCAACATGTAAAGGTGGCCTGCCTTCCTGGCAGTGGTGGCATTTCTGTGAGACATTCCTGCCATGCTGATCCCAACTAATGACCCCTAGTAAGGGGGCAGAGGCCGCCTGTGTCCAGGCTGTCAGCTCCTGTGAGAAGGCTCTGAGGAGCCCAGGGTGACTAAGGTGTTGCCTGTTGTCTTCCGGACATTGTAGTCCTGGTGCTCATGTGTAGGTGTAGAATCCTGTTGGGTGAGTTTCTGTGTGTGGTGTGAGGTAGGGGCTGGCCTGCTTAGTCATTTATGTACTTGGTCCTCAATGTCCCTCACTACTAGTTGAAAAGACTTTTCTTGTCAAAAATCAACTATATATGTGGACGATTCTAGTCCATGATGCTTAAAATGCCCCATATCAAGAGTAAATGTTATATATATTCAGTTGTCCTATGGTTTATTTTTTCAGGCAGAAAATCTATTTCAGGAACTTCAAGAACATTTTCAAGCTCTGACTGCAACATTAAACCTCAGAAATATCCTTTTCCATCTTATAGCAAATACTGAGATGCTTTGAACTATTAAATTACCCTGGAATCTCTTTTTAGTGGAGATTTGTTGACCTTGGATTTCCTTGCATCCTGATATAATTACCAGGCAGGTAATTTCTTCCTGCTTGACCGGCAGAACAGGGCATTTTGTGTGGCAATAAAATACGTGGACACACTGCACATGACTCCCCAGCGGGCCAAGCCCTATAAAAATCGGCGGTCTGCTAGGTAATGTCATACTCTATGCACTCAGAAACCGGCAGACAGAACACAGAAGGCCTCCGACATAGGGTGTTACACCTGGCTCCCCTATCTGTTTGGTTTGGTTTTACAACTTGAGCAGCTCACTGTTTTGTTAAGACATGAATTCAAACACAATTAGAATAGAATGTTTGTTTCCAGTTGGAGCAAATTCAGACAAGGGTAACATCTGCCCTACTTGAGCTCCTTAAAAATTGTGCAAAGTATTTGCACATGGAACTTGGAATTTCTGATTCTGTAGCTGGGTTCCCACAGACGGGAAAAAATGATTCTTAGAGACATGATAAAGTTAAACTGAGTTAATGTCCATTATGTTTACACCCTCATTAGAGTTTAGTTAAGACATAGTTAAACATACCAGAGTAACACACATCCCTGAGTCTGTGTCCTCTCAGGGGAGCCAAGTTTCAGAGCCAAGCTCACATTCAGAGGCTAGAGACATCCTACACAAACCTCAGGGAAGTCTCTGCACTGACCCCCAGATGTCTTACAAGTTGCCCGGCCAGGGTATGTGTCAGACCCCCAGCTGGGCTGCAGGTTGAAGCAGGGCTTTCTGGCCACAGGCTCTGGGCTCCTTAACGTGGAACTGGGAGAAATGGGAAACCGCCTCCAGGACTTGCAGAAGAATGTGAATGCCTTAATGGTGCAAGCTGGGATCAACAATGCTATCAAAGAACAAACGGTAAGACCATTACTAGGAAACTAAATAAGTTTACTTCATGCAGACCTTGTGATTGCTTTCATCTTGAGAAATGCAATCCCGTATTTGGTCACTGTGGGAATTACTGCCTCTGTACTAGGTGAGAAGCCTTCAGGAAGAACAAGCCTTGCACAGATGCTCCTTTCTAAATAGACCCACTTAAACACTCTGCCATACTTCCTTTAAAAGTGTACATTTTAAATGAAACACTTTATTATTTAAAAATTGAATCTAAAAATTTTTAAATATAATAAATATTGGATTTTACTCAAGTACCTATTGGCCCTCACCCCTCAGATTAATCTTTAGTAAAAAAAAAAATTATGATGATTTAGACATTGGAGATTATAACTACCAGTTTCTGTTTGAAACCACATATTCATGGAACCATTTAAAGAAGAAATGTTGCATTAAGCCCTCAACCCATTGCCAGAGTCTGGAGGATCCCACCCAGTCCCACCATGCAAACATTTCTTTTCCAGTGGAATTTTGCACTGAATCTTGAGATGCAAATAAATGCTTAGCTTCAGAACTCAGACTGAATTTATGTCCATGTGATGTATGTGGAGATGTACAACTTTATTAAGATATGTATGCATGTTCTACTGACATACTATTCTGACTATATGAGCATATTTTAATAATTAGATGCCTTCGTTTTTCTTGTTTTCCCATTTCTTTGACAATTGTCATCCGAAGTCATCTGGCAAATTATCTGTAGCTAGCCTGCTAAATCAGAGCTAGTTCACTTATCCTGTCTACATCTGGAATTCCAGTAGAAAGATAGCTGTCCCATGTCCTGCTACTCACGAGCACTCCTCTGAAATTCTGCCTGTAGGGTGAAAATACACCTTTCCCTATTAAGGTTGCATCAGACAGGGCCACCTGCCCAGCAGTCCTGTCTAGGCCTACTGGACGCTAAGCCCTCCACATCTGAGGGCTAATTGGTGATAAGCCAGTGCCTGAAAGAAGGGACCAGTGGGCCAATTTCTGCAGGATCCTGAGTTGGCATACTGCCAGGCACAGGATGGCTGTTTGACAACTTTGTCCTTTCCCTTCATCACCTGCACTCCAGCAGGGTTTTAAATTTGGTCAAACCCACTAAATATGAGGCATCAAATTAAATGGTTAAGTATCAAGACTTCACTCTTTTTTATATTTTTAAATTGATTTTAGAGAGAGGGATAGAGACAGGTAGAATATATATATATATATATATATATAGAGAGAGAGAGAGAGAGAGAGAGAGAGAGAGAGAGAGAGGAGAGAGGAACATTGATCAGTTGCCTCCCAAAGGTGTCTGGGCCGGGGATCAAACCTGTAACCTAGGTATGTGCCCTGACCAGAAATTGAACCCACCACCTTTCAGTATATGGGACAATGTTCCAATCAACTGAGCCACACTGACCAGGGCAAGACTTCATCTTTTGATGCACATATAGTCATTTAAAGCAGCACAAGAGAAGGCCAGGTATCTAAATGTTTGTTCAAAATTGTTAATGTTTTTTACATTAAAAGAAAGACCTAAATAAGTTGTAATCTGCTTGGCTAAATCTGTGCTTGTTGGTGACACTAGGTCAGGCCTCGTGTCATGGGTTTCAGTGGATTCTGCAAACCCCCTAAACTTAAGTTCCTGTTGGGGGTGGGTGGGAAATGGGAGGAGAGTCCATGACCCAAAATGTTAAAAACTACTGTTCTGTATTCTAAAAGATCTGGCTGTTTGTCCCCTTCCACAGTAAATGTAACACTTTTCCCATGTTTACTTCAACACAGACAGGAGTGAGCTCTCTGGACACCTGTGACCCGGGTGATGGAATGTCAATGCTAATTGATGCGAAGCACACTGTTCACTCACCTTGATGGTGAGTCCACCTTGACTCCATCTGACTAAAATGAAAGTCACTTAACATTATGTTTTTCTATAAACTGAATTTTTCCTATATAGATGTTCTGGTAATTACAGGTATATTCATTGAAAGCTTAGATTCCAGTTTTTTTTAACTGTACATTAATTCATATATAAGTAAATCTTACCTCTTTCCAATCTTTTTTCTTACACCTGCACTTACACTTGAAAATGTGATCAAATGAAAACTGCTTTTTGAGTTATAACCTACATAACTTGAGTTCTGATTTTCATAGTTAAAAAATCATTTTGGTAATATTAGAAATTAAAAAAAAAAACAGGCAATGTGATAAGAATGTAATTCCAAAGATAACTGACACAACAAAAGGTGTTTGCTGCCTGGCCCACGGGGCTCAGTGGTTGAGCATCGACCCATGAACCAGAAGATCACAGTTCTATTCCCAGTCAGGGCACATGCCCAGGTTTCCGAGCTTGATCCCTAAGAGGAGGCATGCAGGAGGCAGCTGATCATTGATTCTCTCTCTCCCTCTCCCTTCCTCTCTCTAAAATCGATAAAAACATTATTTTTTAAAGTGTATGATTCGTTGATTTTTAAATACATTTACTAAGTTGTACAACCTCACCACAATCTAATATTAGAACATTTCCAGCACCCACCCACCCCAAACCTATCTGTTTGCAGTCAGTACCTCTTCCCACCCTGGCCAACCACTAATCTACCTTCTATCTCTGTAGATTCGTCTTTTCTGGATGTTTCCAATAAGTGGAATCAGACAATATAAGGACCTCTACATCCATCTTCTTTCACTTAGCATCAATAAAATAAAAATAAAAAGATGTTTGCTGAATGGCAGAATGTCTCCCTCCAGCCACACCATTTTGTAAATCACACAAGAAAAGCATGAGCTGTGATTCAAATTTTTTTCTGAATTAAATTCTATATAGATCTTTTTTAAAAAAAAGATCATAAGCAGTTTTCTGGTGTAAGTTGCTTTCTATATATGTTTTTTAATTGATTTTTTTTTTTTTTTTTTTTAGAGAGAGAGGAAGAGACAGGGAGAGATAGAAACATTGCCGAGAAACATCAACATCGACTGGCTGCCTCCTGCATGCCACCCACTGGGGATTGAGCCTGCAACCTGGGCATATGCCCTGACCAGGAATCGAACCAGTGATCTCTTTGGTGCATGGGTTGACGCTCAACCACTGAGCAGACCAGCTGAGCAGAAGTTGCTTTTTAAATGGCTGCATCACTTTGTTACCAGAAAATCAGTGGGCCAGATTTCCCAGACACTAGTGGGCATGAGATTCTTGGGGTACCGCTGAAATAGTATTTTCAGAAGCCCCCATGGGAGAATGAGATGTAGTAAAAAGCTGTGTTTGGAGTTACTTTCCTTGTGTTATAAAGTCTCATGTCCCTTAACCTAATTCTGAAAAAGGTACAGCTGGGAGTTCAGCAAAACCAAGAGCAAGGCCAGTGTCCCAAGCTTCAGATCCATGTTGTAGCTGGGTCCAGTTCAGCATCAGGCTAATTAAAGTCCATCAGTCCATTGTGTGGAGCCCACAGTGCTGAGGCACATGGGCGAATGCAGGGGAACGTGCCCCCTGCAATGGGAGAAGCAGGAGCGCAGGCATGCAGAAGAGGCAAGGGCCAAGAGAGGGAACTTCTTTTGTTCAGAAGTTTAAATATTCAGGTTTCATGCCCTTGTAGTGGCCACACCTATTCTGGCCACTAATTTGTTCTCAGGTGTGACTGACAGACACCTTCCCAAGTCACTCACTTTACTGGTCATGCGTGTAAACTGCCTTTGTCCATTTCCTTCCCCCATCAATCGGTGGGGAACAGACTTGGAGAGTATTAAATTAACAAAGCTGTGTAAATGGCATTCCTATATTATCTAGTCTTCCCTTTACTCCTTTCCTATTAAGTAATAACCAGGTTATTACAATGGTATCAAGTCACCATTTCCAGTCACAGTGTTTATTGAAGACTAATGTTAATCTGTCTAGTCCAGACAGGCTCTGATAGCAACACTCTCCAAACCAAACTAATTTAAACCAAGAAGGCAGGTGAACCAGAAGCACTGCTGACTCCGGAGGTAACCCTCACCTCTCACCCCACTGGAGGCAGTTAGCAATTAGATCTTTGTAGGTTATGGAGAAACGCTTTCAAATAATTATCCAATTCCCTTTTTTCTGAGCCAGAGTAAAATAAACATGATCACCCCCAAAAGGGGTCAGTTGTAGGCTCTACTGTAAAAAATAACATTATTCCTGCATATAAAATAAATCATAGTCTTCATTTAAAAGTCAAAATCAACTACAGTTGGCCCTAGCCCAGCCGTGGGCAAACTTTTGGTTTGGAGAATGTTGCTATCAGAGCCTGTCTGGACTAGACAGATTAACATTAGTCTTCAATAAACACTGTGACTGGAAATGGTGACTTGATACCATTGTAATAACCTGGTTATTACTTAATAGGAAAGGAGTAAAGGGAAGACTAGATAATAGGCATGCCATTTACACAGCTTTGTTAATTTAATACTCTCCAAGTATTTGAAATGAATAAAACTAAAAAAAAACAGTACCCTTTTATGTAATGATGTTTACTTTGAATTTATTAGTTCACACAAACACTCCATCCATGCTTTTGTTCCGGCCCTCCGGTCCAGTTTAAGAACCCATTGTGGCCCTCGAGTCAAAAAGTTTGCCCACCCCTGCCCTAGCCAGTTTGGCTCAGTGGATAGAGCATCGCTCTGAGGACTGAGAGGTCCTGGACTGAAAGGTCCCGGGTTCGATTCCCGTCACGAGCATGTACCCCGGTTGCAGGCTCCTCCCTGGCCTAGGCCCTCGTTGGGGCTTGTGCAGAAGGCAACCAATCGATGTCTTTCCCTCTCTCTAAAAATCAATGGAAAAATATCCTTGGGGGGGCGGTTGCTCCAGGTGTGCTCCCCACACACGCACCAGTGCTCCTAACACATGCTTGGATGATCCCAACCACCCACCAGCATGCTTCTGGGATAGAATTAGAAGAGAAGCTTGAGAATGATAAGACTGACTGAAGGGTCATGGATCATAGACTCCACAGAGAATACAGTATGTTTAAAGTACATTAGATGTAATATCAGAAGGAACAAAAAGCTTCCTTTTTAATCCTCATCCAAGAATACTTTTTCCCCATTGATTTTTAGATAGAGTTGGAAGGGAGGGAGGTGGGGGGGGGGGGAGAGGGAGAGAGAGAGAGAGAGAGAGAGAGAGAGAGAGAGAGAGAGAGAGAGAGAGAAACATCGATTGGTTACCTCCCATACACACTCCAACCAGGGCTGGGACTCAAACCTGCAACTGAGGTACGTGCCCTTGACCAGGAATCAAGCCCTCAACCCTTTGTTCCGTGGGCCGACACTCCAACCACAGAGCCAAATAGAACAGGGCAGCAGCTTACTCTGTATTTAAAAGGAAGACCCTCCCCCATCCCAATTATTTTATTGCACTTTATTCTTGTAGTGTGTATTCCTTCTGAACTTAAGCCATTAGATTCTGTTGTGGGTTGAATTGTGCCCCTTCTCCCCTCAGGGCCTCAGAATGACCTTATGTGGAGATAGGGCTGTTGTAGATATAATCAGTTAAGATGAAGTCATGCTGGAGTTGAGCAGCCCTGAGCCAATGACTGGTGTCCTTATAAAAAGGGGACACCTGGACACAAACACAACTCAGGGAAAAGGCCTGGAGAATATGAAGGCTCAGGTCGGGGTGGGTGGGGACAGGGTTAGGGAAGAGGCAACTGGGTCCCCAGATGTCCCGTCTCCAGACTGGTGAGACACACATTTCTGATAAGTGCCTGGGCTGCGGTCCTCTGTTCCAGCAGCCCCGGGACACACATAGCTTCCACTGCCAAGTGTGCAAAACAGGGCAGCCCAGCCTGGCCAGTGTGGCTCAATGGTTGAGCATCAACCCATGAACCAGGAGGTCACGGTTTCATTCCCAGTCAGGGCATGTGCCCGAGTTGTGGATTCGATCCCCAGATCGGCATGCAAGAGGCAGCTGATCAATGACTCTCTCTCATCATAGATGTTTCTCTCTCCCTCTCCCTTCCTCTCTCTGAAAAAAAGTATTACAAAAAAAAACCAGAGCAGCCCACAGACCCCCTGAACTTCACTCCAATGGTAAAGAATCAAGTTTTTACTTCCAAAACCAGTAATCCATATAAAAAATAAACCATCAGGACTTTCCCATGATTGTGTATTTGTTTAGTTCAGCTAGATATTTACAGATATTTGCGAATATAAAAGTACAGTAGCCAGGCCAACGCCAGCTTGAGGCTGTGCAGCCCTCCTGTCCCTCCCCAGACTCCTCCTCAAAGGCTTCAGAGTCCACAGTGTCTCCACGTGAAAGTGACTCCCTGGGTAAACCCCCACGCCTGGGGACAGGCACTCAGTATCGGTACTTCGTAGAGTAGTCCTTCGGGGACACGACCAGGCCACGGCCTTTGCGGGCGCCCCGGTACACGGTCTCAATGATATCGATCATCTCCTGCTTGTCCTCCATGGCCCAGTTGATCTTGTTGTTGTTGCCAGTGCCCAGGTCAATCATGATGTGCTTGTTCCTGCAGAGGAAACAGGCAAGGCTTATCAGAGCGTCTAGAAGGGCCCTGGCTGGGTAGCTCAGTAGGTTAGAGAGTTGTCCCAGTATGCCAAGGTTGCAGGTTTGATACCCAGTCAGTGCACATGCATGAATAAGTGAAACAACAAATCAATATTTTTCTCGCTCGATCTCTCCCCCTTTCTCTCTCTCTAAAAATCACTATTTTTTTTTAAGCCTCTACAAGGGACCCCATGAAGAATGTCTGTTTCCCACTGTTACAGCTTTGGTTACTCGGCTCAGACTTGACTCTGACATGTGGCAACCAGCAGGGCAGCTGCCATGTCTGTCTGAGCCCCCCATGTTTCCACTGCCCAGAATGCACTACTAGTAAGCTGCCTGTCTAGAAGCAGATGGAGCCCTAGCCACAGCCAGCGAGTAGAGGTCTCAGACTCACGACCACAAAACGGGATTCAGCCAACTACCTAGGTGAGCCATATGGCTTCTTCCCCGACTGACTGCCTTTGAGAGACTCCAAGGAAACCTGCAGAACCTGCCCGGACTAGGACCTGCAGAACCCTGAGCTCACAAATGGTGCTTTCTGCCACAGAACTTGTGCTAACTTGTTCCACAGAATATGAAGCTAATACACACCCTATACAGTCCACCTGGACCATCCTCACCAACAGGGGCTCTACTTGTGAAGTGAACATTAATATTGCTACCCACCAACTTTTGTAGTAACAGTAACTATGAAATTTTGGCAAGTATAGCAATATTAAAGGGTTATTTCTTTCCTAATTAACCTTCCAGAACAGAGTTATTTTTGTACTCATGATGTTACTTAACTTGATTACATAAATACCATCAAACATATGTGGCACCTGCATCAAACCCCTGGGTATGCAGCCAGTACATTCCCACGTTTTCCTTTGAAGCAAAGCCCGTACATTGTGGATACAAATTTGTCTGAGGCAATTAGGGAAATTCTATTCTTCATGCCAATAACTCATTGACTAGGGTCCACACAGAATGTTTTAGCTGATAAAATGATCTTGTGTTTATAAGCAAATAAATTAAGAACAGGTTTTTCCTCTTAGGTATCACAAAGAACATTAAATAGTGTCATGATATCATATTTTAAAATAGAGTTATTTTAAAACAGACATTTTTCATCAACAGATTATTTAAAGGTAGCTTAAAGTTAATAAGAATGTCTTCCCTTTAATTACACTTCATCTAGGTTTCTGGGCAAAGTTACTTCAAAAGGGTAATTTATCACTGAGTAAATGATAAAACTACAATTGTTTAAAAATTATTGAAAGATCACATTAATTGCCTGGTGATACAATCTGTATGTGATATGACTACATAATGACTTCCTTCCAAGTAAGAGAATTTAAAGGCATCTCGATTACATTAAATATCCAGACCAACAATTTCAATTTAAACAACAACTTTAAAAGGAGCCCAGCCAGCATGGCTCAGTGGTTGAGCATCGACCCAGGAAACATAGAGGTCACTGGTTCAATTCCCAGTCAGGGCACATGCCTGGGGCTGTGGGCTCAACCCCCAGTGGGGGGATGTGCAGGAGGCAGCCAATCAATGATTCTCTCTCATCACTGATGTTTCTATTTCTTTCTCCCTTCCACTCTGAAATCAATAAAAATATAAAGAGGACAATTTAAATAACAAGTTTGAGAGAAGAGGACGTACCTGAAGAAAAACATGACAGTACATGGATCGTATAACTCATACATTTTGTTGAAATCAGGTACTTCTGTAATATCCACAAGATAAATAACCGCAAAATTTTTAACCTAAAAGTAAAGAATATTTTAAAAAACCTAAAATAAAAATCGATTTTTTTAATTCTGTAAAAGCACATTAAAAACGAAAACAATTATCTGTATATAACAAAACAATTTTCAAGCTCTCCAACATTTTCCCAGTAGAGTTAACACAGAAAAATAATTCAACAAGCTCAGGATACCGAGCAAATAATTGGCTATTTACAACTCCCTTTAACATTTTTTTTAGAATAGCAAGTTACAAGAGCCTTCACAAAATATCCACAGACATATTATTCATGCTGATCTAGCAATAATCTATACGATCTTTTCCAAATGTATACTTTTACTAATTCTTAATCACATGCATTGAACAACTGCTTTCCAACAAGCCATACATTCCCCATGTACCTGGGTTTGAACTCTTGTAAATAGTAACAAACTACTACTCCAAATAATATCGTATATAACAAATTTTCTTTAAATGCACATTCATCAGAGAAGATTTAGAAAACCCAAAGAACTAAAAATAAAATCACCTTCAATCCCAGCAAAAACTTAATTACTGCAAAAGTACTTTTAGTACGTTCTTTCCCATTTTTCCTCCAACTGAGTCATGCAGCCAACTGTTTTAACAAAATGTGATCATATAGTGATCATACTACAATATTTACTACATTGCTTAAATTACAAGCATTCTCTTATATAAGCATTCTTTTATGGCTATCCTATATAATAAAAGTGTAATATGCAAATCGACTGAACAGCGGAACGACCTGTCATTATGATGCACACTGACCACCATGGGGAAGATGCTCAACACAGGAGCTGCCCCCTGGTGGTCAGTGCACTCCAAAATGGGGAACACCTCTCAGCCACAAGCTGGGCTGACTGCAGGTGAGTACAGCCGCCCACCTCCAAAGCAGCACTAAGCCATCAGTCGGACTTCCCCCTCAAAGGCTCCCGGACTGTGAAAGGGCGCAGGCCGGGCTGAGGGACGCCCCCCCGCCCCCCGCCCCGTGCACAAATGTCATGCACTGGACCTCTAGTATTAAATAATTAGTTCATCAAATGTCTATGCCATTACTTTACCTTTCTTCTGTTTCTTTCTGATTTTTCATGACTATAAATAATTCATTTTCTTTAATATCAATTATTCCCCTGTGAACATTCTAATCCTTAAATTTGTGCACACATTCATTATTTTCTAAGGCTAAATTCCTAAAATAGAATTTCTAAAATAAAGAACATGACATTTTAAAGGCCCCTTATAAATACAGGGGTGGGCAAAAGCAGGTTTATAGTTCTAATACAAATAAATCTATAATAATAAAAGGGTAATATGCTAATTAGATGGACATTCTTCCTTCCGGACAAAGCCGCAGTGGGCAGCTGTGGCAGCAGCAGGTGGGGACTGGGGCCAAGGCCCTTGCACAAATTTCGTGCATCAAGCCTCTAGTACAGCGGTTCTCAACCTGTGGGTCACGACCCCTTTGGGGGTCGAACAACCCTTTCACAGGGGTCGCCTAAGACCATGGAAAAACACATATACAATTACATATTGTTTTTGTGATTAATCACTATGCTTTAATTATGTTCAATTTGTAACAATGAAATTGGGGGTCACCACAACATGAGGAACTGTATTAAAGGGTTGCGGCATTAGGAAGGTTGAGAACTACTGCTCTAGTACAACAATAATAATGCAAGTCCTGGCTGGTGTGGCTCAGTTAGTTGAGCACTGTCCCAGGCACCAAAAGGTTACTGTTTTGATTCCTGGTCAGGGCACACACCCAGTTTGGGGCTTCACCCCCAGTAGAGGGCATGCAGGAGGCAGTCAGTCAATGTTTCTCACATCCATGTTTCTCTCTCTCTCTCTCTCTCTCTCTCTTCCCCTCTCCCTTGGAAGAGAGAGAATCATTGTTTGGCTGCCTCCTGCGCTCCCCACACATCGGCCCGCAACCCAGGCATGCACCCTTACCAGAATTGAACCGTGACCTCCTGCTTCATAGGTCAATGTCAACCACTGAGCCATGCCAGTCAGGCTAAAATCACATTAGGATTTTTCAGATGAATCCCAAGCCACATGAGGCAAGGAACCACGTCTGTAGTCTTTACTGATGTATCCTCGGAGCCAAACATCTGACACATTCAAGGCACTAGTAAATATTCGTTGAATGAATGAACTTTAACAATAAACTTATATTTCAAAACTCAAGAAACCCATTATTGTCACTAAGAACCATGGTTTTGGACAGTATGGACTTAACTCTATAATCCTGAGTTCAAACCTGCCTTAGGAGGTGTCAGGTCTAACCCCCTTCCTCAGAGGTGGGGTCCTGACAGAAGGTTCTCCCACTGCTGGCAGGAAGGGGCCATGCCACATCCAGCGGGGCGGCTATGTGAGCATGCTGCCCCTCACTCTGAATCCTCCCAGGTTTTCCTCTGGAAAAGCTCCCACCTGACAAAGCTTCTCCTCGTGTGGATTTGGGTTCCTGTATTGCGATGCCTTTCACATAGAGAACTATATCGCCTAAACCAGCAGTCGCCAACCTTCCGGACCTCACAGACCACCAGTGGTCCACGGACCACCGGTTGGTGACCACTGGCCTAAACAGTTCACATCCAGTAATGAATCTGCAGGTAACTAAAACCCCTGTGTATTTTTTTAATATACAACTGAAATTAAGCTAGGTGTCTATCTTTTCTCCATTTAAAAAATGTTCACTTGGAAAATATAGAAATGAAATGGAAAAATCACTCTTTTGTATCCAGCCCAGTAATTTTCAAACAAGTTATATAATTTAAAAAACATGACAGCCATAATATATTAGTGTTTTAAAGTGAGAGTAAATGTTTCCCTTTCCCAACTCAAAGCTTGTGGACGTTCCAGTTTAAATCCCAATCTCCAAGTCCGGACAGATAACTGCTAGCACCTGTTCAGGAGCTGTCATGAGGACCACGAGAGGGTCAGTTTCCTACCTGGCACTGTGCCTGGCCTAAGTGTTCCCCTATCACTGGACACTGTGGTTGTTTCCACTTTTGCTATAAATGACAGCAATGGTCTCCTGAAGGGTCAGTTACTAAGAATGGCAAGACCATCTGACTATCGTTCATCAGGCTCTTCACACAATGCCAGCCATGTTCCTCAGGGTGATGCCAGCTCTACCACCTTAACATCACAACGTCCAGCACACCCCACACTTCAACTCATTTTTAACTTTTTGTCTCTGATATACCTAAAAAACGACAGTGAACTATTTTAAGGTGCGTTTCTTTGACGTTTACTTAACCACTGAATTTCTTATTTTTTCAAGTTCTTTTCCCACTCACTTACAAGAACCATCTTTTTAAACAGTACTGTAAACGTATTTGCCGTATTTAAAATACATTTTGCCTACTATTAGTAATCTAACTGGTTGTTAAATAGTATTTTTTTAAACCAAGAATCATATGTACAAATTCATTTCTATTATCAAGTTATTTTTAAAATACATATTCTTTTGGTCATCTACAATAGTAAATATCCTTTCCATCTCTGTTGCCCACACATTTTATGAGCACACCTTCTTTTTCTTCAGCAAGTCAGTGATCAATCACCACTTGGCCCTTTTTATGGTGCTCCTCCCTCAGTTGAGAACCTATCTAATACACCAGAAAAATGTTCTGGGCTGTCAACTGGCTAATTATTACACTGATACTTAATTCATTTCAAATCCATCAAAAGATTACATGGTAACTTTATTTTCTAAAACTATGTGCCCTGCCTGGCTGGTGTTGCTCAGTTGTTGAGCATCGACCTATGAACCAAGATTTCATGGTTCATAGCATTCCCAGTCAGGACATTTGCCCAGGTTGCAGGCTCCATCCCCAGTTGGAGGCATGCAGGAGACAGCCGATCATGACTTCCTCTCAATCACTGATGTTACTATCTCTCTATCGCCCTTCCTCTCTGAAATCAATATATATATATATATATATATATATATATATATATATATATATACACACACACACACACACACACACACAAATAAATAAATAAAAAAAACTATGTGCCCTGATTAGCTCTATTTACAATAACTGTTGCAAATTTTGTGATGTGAGATAGTAATAATAATGGTAGCTAATGATCACTGAATATACTACTTGATATTAACTCTGCCCTCACAACCACCTATGAGTCTGGCACTGGTATCCCTTTCTTACAGACGAGTTATTTAATGTCATGCAGGCAGTAAGTGGCAGAATCCAGCTCAGTCTGGGCCCATAACCACTGCTCAATCCTGCCTCTCATAGCTGCTTGCTGCAAGGTGATTATATGCAGAGACACAAATCCCAGAGTGAATACAAAAACATGCTTTCTGCTGGTTCCTATCGATTTCTCAGACTGAGCACCAACTTCCACTGGTTCACTTACTTTATGTGATGCTTCAGTAAGACCCCCCAGTCATTCCTAAAAAGTTTCATCAATATATTTGCCTTACATATAATTTCATCTAGAATGTATGCTCACCCATCAATATCACTGAGGTTCTACATATTTTAAACTCTACTTATATGGGCTTTTTAACACAAAAATTAAATGTCTCACTTATTCTTAACCATCGTGAAATTTAGGAAACTGAGCTGTGACAAACTGTTCCTACAGAATGGCAGACAGCTCAGAGGGGCACAAAACAGTCTCTCTTCAAAGCTGTGCATAAAATCAGCTGCTAAACAGGAAACTTTGTTATTACCACTCTGCCAAATTTCAGACAGCTGTAAAATCGGTAAGCATATCTCTGTTTCAGTATAGCTCAAAACTAACCAGCACGAAGAGGGGTTGGCACTGTCAGAGCATCAAGTCAATACACCACATTCCAGCCTCAACCCAGGAACTTTTACTCACTTTAAAACAGCTGGGATATCCAAACAGGGCTCGTAACAAGATGAGGAAGATCCCCCATTATCTGCCATTTCTGCAGAGGGAGATTTTTAAATAGAGTTAAGTTGTTCTTTATACTAAAACCTTCAATCTCAAAAATTTGTTGAGCTTCCCCAAAATAACTTCCAGATTTATAAACTCATATTTTGCCCTTATACTCAGAAGAAAGCAAAATGTTAATAGTCTTATAATGCATTTCAAGTTTGCATTTTGAATAGCTATATTATAATACAATATTGAAAATTTATTAAAATAAAAATCCACATTTTTGGACAAAAGAAAAAAGGGTAACTTAAAAAACTAAAGGAAAATAGTCAAAGTGAGTCTAATTAAACTGCCCTTATTAACAGGTTCAATACAAGAAGAGTATGTCCACTAGTGACACAGCAATTCAGTCTCTGACATAAAGGCATCAGAAAAGAACCACTCTGGTAAAAGTCCCTAAAAACTTACGTTAACACATAAAATATGTCTCCTAGCTAAGAACATCTTGCCAAGTTTTGCTCAGATATGAAGAGCCAACCAACCCTTACGTCTCTAGCCACCCTAGCCTGGCGCTGAGGGCAGCAGATCTGGACATCACCTGGTATTATGCCACCACCTGTAAGGTAGAATCCAGAACACACACCCTAGGTTATTTCAAAGTCAACATGCTACTGATTTGCTTATCGGAAAGGTGCTTGGTAAAGTCTTCACTGAATTCAGCAGTATCTGCCCTTGACCACTATACAGTAGCTTAAACAATGAATAAATGATTCCCTGGCAGCACCTCATTCAAGGCTCTCTCTCCTGGGTTCCCCAGTCACCTACCTCCCCAAGCTCCTCAGGGTCCTGGGCATGTCTGACAAAGTACAGCACTCATACTTGGTCCCAGGCCTCTGTTGAGAGGTTTCTGAAAGTCACACCACAATTCCCAGAGCAGCTTCTCAAAGAAGCCGTTTCTGAACCTCACCCAGACCCATACAATCACAATCTCTGCGATGCACTCGGTAAGTATGCCAAGTGGTACTTATGATGACAGATATGGAAGAACAGTCCCTAAGGTCCACAATGTCATGACCCCTACATCACTCTGCCTCTCCTTCCAAATAGGAGGTAGTAAAAATCAGCTTTTCTATCCTAAGTACTAAATATATACTCTGTTGTTATTTACTCACAGGTGTTATTTTAACCCAGCCAATATTACCATCTCCTATTCCCATGAAAGAAAAGATGGGCCCTGACCGGTTTGGCTCAGTGGATAGAGCGTCATCGGCCTGTGGACTGAAGGGTCCCAGGTTCGATTTCGGTCAAGGGCATGTACCTTAGTTTCAGGCACATCCCCAGTAGGGGGTGTGCAGGAGGCAGCTGATCAATGTTTCTAACTCTCTATCCCTCTCCCTTCCTCTCTGTAAAAAATCAATAAAATATATTTGGGGGGGGAGGAAGAAAGAAAAGATGGTTTCAGTGTTTCCACTTTTACTCTTCAAATGACCTTTCAAATCATTCATCAAACAGTAGTAAGTTAATAATTTCATTAACACCCTAATATATGTGCCTTTTGCCCTAATGTTGGAATTGCAAAAATCCAAATTAAAAGTTCTCTTAAAATGAGGAATTTTAAAAAGAATTCTGGTTACACAGAAACACCCTACAACTGCACCCTTACTTACTGTCAGCAAACAAGCCCCTGCATTTAAATCATCTGTTATAAAACAAAACAAAAAACGACAAGAAGAGCTACTATGCTATTAACATACATGTTCGGCTTTATAAATACAACAAATAAACATGATACCAAAAAAAAAGGAAAATCCTTTTAAGCTAAGCTATTTAAAAGGAGCTCTAACACTTCCCAAAGTATGCAAAAATAGTGTTCTTACTACCATAGATGCAAATCTTGAAAAAACACCCTATCACTAGGAATTATTAAGTGATTTATCTAGGGAGAGGGCCCATTAACTTTTCTGTAACGTATGGCAATTTCTCCCAGAAGAAAAAGGCATAACCTATTGTGTACAATTTCAGGGAGCTCGTCCTCACATCGCCAGGTCAATCCTACATCTTCTGTTTATTTGCTGGCGCATTAAAATTTAGGGCATGAACAATGAGTGTGGAAGCCAGCTTTTAACCTCACTTTTAGATTTTCCTGTCAACTGGCAAAGCAAAAGAAAGCAGACACCGAGCCGACTGCCGCGCATGCGGTACCTTCTCCGCGATGCTGTACAGAACCTCGTCCATTTTCATGCACGTAGGGTCCCAATCGTGCCCGAACCGGATGACGACCACCCGGTCTTCTTCCGAAAGGATGGCCTGGTCCACCTGCCAGCCGTTGTGCAAGTGCGGGAGCATGTACGACATGTTGGCGACTCTAGCGGCCTCTGCGGGAGAGGGACTCGGTGGACGAGCTGCTTCCGGCTCAGTCACAGCACGCGGCGCTGGCGGGGGAGCTGCCACCGACCACCGCTCCCCTCCTCCCGGGCCCGGGCCCGCCCCCCGCCCCCCGCCCCCCGCCCCCAGCCCGGGCCCCCGCTCCCACCCAGGACCCCACTACCCCCGTTCCTCCCCCGACCCCGGCTCCCGACCTGCACCCCCAGCCCGGACCCCGGCTCCCTCCCGGGACCCAGCTCTCAGAGACTGATCGCTCCTACCTCCTCTCCTCGAACACCCGGCCTCCCGCGCAGCGACTGCCCTCGGCGTGCAAACGCACTGACGTGCGCGTGCGCGTGCGCGTGCCCGCCGTGCGTGCGTCCGCCGTGCGCGCCGGGGCTGTGGGGCCTGTGCGTGACGTAGGTGGTCGCCGGGGGTCTGGTTGCCTGCGGACGCCCCGCCCCGCGGTGCAGAGGGGCTGTGCTGTGTCCGACCGCGCCGAGCTTCACCGCGGAGGCCCCAAATTAGTCATTTTGCTGTCATGCTTCCCAGACAGAAACGTGGCAAAAGCAGTTCATGAACAGAAAAACTCACGCGTAAGACTCACCAGACATATATGAAAATATTTCCTCCCATTCTGTGGATTGCCTTTTCACTTTTTATTGGTATCTTTTGCAGCACGAAAGTATTACATTTTGATTAAGTCCAATGTGTCTAAATTATCCTTCGTTGCTTGTGCTTTTGGTGTCATATCTAAGAAACCGAGTTCATGAATGTTTACTCCTGTTTACTCTTACGAGCCTTATATTTTTAATTCTTACATTTAGATCTATGATCATTTTGAGTTAATTGTTGTGTGTGTTGTTACGTGTCCAACTGCAGGTGGTCTGCAGGTGAACGGTGACGCTGAGATGAGCTCGGCAAGCAGGATTGAGTTTAGAGAAGCAGAGGGCTACTGCTCGCTCAGGCAAGTAGCAAAACCTCCAAAGTTCTCCTGGCTTTTATTGGGGAGTACAGCAAGTAACAATGGAGTACAGCAAGTAACAGTGGAGTACAGCAAGTAACAATGGAGTACAGCAAGTGACAATGGTAAACAGGCATGCCTATGAGATCATCTGAGCTAAGTTATACATTAAACTATTAATTTCCAGTATTGTTCAAAGACCCTCTCAACCAGCAGTTCTGTTCCTTCCCTTGTTCTTTCCATGCCCTCATGGACTATTTATCACCTCAAGGAAATTCTGCTTCTGAACAATAAATCTTGCGTGCAAGACTTTGTTTTGACGTGGCCCGACTATTTATCACCTCAAATAAATTCTGCCTCTGAACAATAAACCTTGCGTGCAAGACTTTGTTCTTGACGTGGCCCGCTTGCAGGCCCCCGTCTGTTCTTGGCAGAACGTTCCTCTTGTAGTTAACTTCTCATTCCACCAACTTCATTCAATTACATGTGGATATCCAGTTGTCCCACAGCGTTTTTTGGAAAGATTATTCCTTCCCCATCAAATTGCATTGGCACCCTTGCTTAGGGGTGTGTGTGTTGTTCCAGGCAGAGGCGGGACTGGGGTTGGGCTAAATGTAGCAGGGGCGGAGACGCAGGTAAGGTGTGTTAGGCAGGTGGGAAGTCACTGTAATCTCTGACTCTGCGAGGAACCTGCCTGGGAGACTGGGCTCCACCTGAGCGTCCCTGAGATCTTGAGTCCTTGGAAAGGTAAGTGTGCCCCTAGTTTGTTGTGGCGAGGGCGGAAGACTGGATGGAGCTCTGAAGCATGGGCGTGGCGGCTTTGACCCCAAACCTCCCCTGTGACAGGCACTTAAATCCTAAACCCATCCAGACCTGCATAGCAGGACCCTAAAGGATTTAACTGGGGAAATGCAGCGTTGCCTCATTTGAGGCAGGGTGAAGGCGGCTTCAGGGTCTCTGCCAGAATTTAGAGGTAAATTTGGACAGGTGTTTATTATTTTTGCTAAGCTGTAGGCAATGGCACATTAAGCTTTAAATGGGTAAAATTTGTGGTACCCACATCATATTTTAGTTCATAGTTTACACCAGTGGTTCTCAACCTTGGCTGCACATTAGAATCACCTGGGAATCTTTTTAAAATCCTGATTTCTGGGCCTCATCCTCCGGAAATTCTGTTTCTTTGTTACTAATGTTGTGGCCCCACCCCATAACAAAGAAACAGAATTTCCGGAGGATGAGGCCCAGAAATCAGGATTTAAAAAGATTCCCTGGTGATTCTAATGTGCAGCCAAGGTTGAGAACCACTGGTTTACACCCTTACATGAATCCAGTTTTTTAGGAGCTTAGCACCTGTTTTTGCAGAGATATATTGTGATAGTATTGGTTTTAAGTTATATTGGATTTGTTGATACCTGGTAACTCAAGAAACCTCACAATTGTCAAGGAATCTGTAAACCCTTTGGCATATTTTAATCTTTTGGGTCCCCTTATCTAGTCATGCACTGATCAGATAATTGTCAGTCAAATAAAATATCTCATGCTCCTTTGCTGGACTCTGGCCCATGATTGGAGATGGTTAAAGTCCAGTGCAAGAGAAAGAGACCAAGGAAGGCATGAGCCCTGCATCTGCCTGATGCTCCCATCACTGTTACTTTCATTTCTCTCAACTGGAAATCTCACCCCCTCTTATTATTTGGAGCAGCCATGAGTCACTTGGAGAATCTTGAGTCTTTTCTACATAAACCACTGACAATAATGGTGTGATGGATATATGTCATTGCTCTTTAACCAATGCTAATGGAAAGTTGAATACAAAGTGATCAGGAATCATGCTTCCTCTCTGCAAAAGTAAACGAAAATCTTATCTTGAAGTCCAAAATTTTTTTAAACCAATTGCACTCTCAGCTTTAAACAAATGTTAAACATTTTTAGTCATGACCCAAAGATGCATTCATTAACCTCAATTCTTGAAACACAACAGGTTTTACTTTTATAGGAAAGCTGTGAAATGTCAAAAATATCTTATTTTTAGCAGTAACAAGGAATGTAAAACCTTATTTCATTCATTTGACAGATAACAAATATCTTTTATTGTCACAGTACAAAAAAAAAAAAGGTCGTGTCGACATAAGAACTTCCAAACCTGTAGAGAATATTTATAAGAGTTTATTTGAGACAAAACTGACTATTGCTGGAGGCAAGATCTCAAGTGCTTCCCAGAATGACAGTTTTCAGGTTTTTTTTGCATCTGGAACCAAGGAGGGAATGTAAGGAATATTCAATGAAGGTGGGGGAGAGCAAGTCGGGGATTGGATTACAGGGGAGTTGACTAAACTGTGCCCCTCTTGAGGGTGGTCACACTTCAGGGGTTCTCAAAAATAGGATTAATCTAGCATTTCAAAGGTATGTTAACTTAGACACATAAAAACAATGGACAGGGTTGTGTAAGGCAAAGATAAACCTTTTACTTAAAAAGATATATGCCTTCCCGTGACTACTGCAGTGACCTGCCCAGTTAGGAGTTTAGGACCCAATCACTGTGTGAGGTTACTTTCTATAGAACCCCATTTTTGTTCACAGACAATTTTAGGAGTTATTGCTGCATACATAACAAATTGTCCTAAATTTTAGTGGCTGGAAATAGCAAACATCTGTTATCTCCCAGATGTTCAGGTCAGAAATCCGGGAGTGTCTTACCTGAGTGGTTCCGGCCCAGGGTTTTTCATGAAACTTTAAACAAGGTATTGAACAGGGCTGCAGTCATCTCAAGGCTCACCTAGTTGTTGGCAGGCCTCTTAGATCTGCTTCCAAGCTCAGTCATGGCCTCTGCACAGGCTGCCTCCCAGCATTGAGAAGGCAGACAGGCAGTGATCTCCCAACACATCACTCTGCCATTTCTCTTCACTAGAAGCACACTCCAGGATTGGGGTTACACCAATGCATGGTTACCAGGAGGGTGTGATGGAGACACTGGTGTCTTCAGAGCTCTGGGTCTATTGACTTTCATAATGAATTGCAGCCTTGTTGTAATGTAGAAAATCTGAAGAGTAGCAGGAGAGCACATGGGTTGTTCTCTTACAGACTCTATTTTGATAGCAGAAATCATGGTTGTCTTTCTGCAGGCCATGGAGGATCAGGACCTACCAGGGGTTTTGGTGTCTGGATTTGAAGGGCCATCTGGTATATGTAAAGATCATGTTGGAGAGTTGCAGAAATACTTTAATCTCATTACCATGCAAGACCTGCTAGAAAATAAAACACAAGTGGGTCCAAAGATCCAGGCTGCATATATCTGGAACAGAAAGCCAGCTATTGATCAGGAGCTCCTGCAGAGCCTGCCCGCCTTGAAGATTGTTGCCAATGCAGGAGCCGGTTTAGACCACCTGGACCTGAAGCTCATCGCCAGCTTTGGTGTGAAGGTGGCCAACACACCGCAGGCTGTTTCCAGTCCCACCGCAGACATGGGGATGGCCTTACTGCTGGCGGCAGCCCGGAGAGTGGTGGAAGGTAAATCATGTTGGAGATGCTGGTTTTTCTGAGAGATCAGATGGCAGACACTTATTAATACACTAGAGGCCCGATGCATGAAATTCGTGCAAGAGTAGGCCTTTCTTCCCCCAGCTGTTGGCACCGGCTTCCCTCTGGCAACCGGGACCTGGGCTTCCCTTGCAGCCCCGGCTTCATCCAGAAGGTCATCCGGTCTAATTAGCATATGATGCTTTTATTATTATAGATGACAAATATAATTTTACCTTCAAACTTCAAATCCTTTCCTGGCCCTGATTTCCTTACACTGCATCCAGAACTTGGTGGCACTTGGTATTTGGAGCCCCTCCTGGTCATTTGCAGCCCACTTAGTGCCCAGGCCCAGTCCCAGGCACAGGTAGTTCAGCAGTCTGCTGGCAGCCCTACCAAATGCTTCTCACTCACATAACAGGTGGGAAGTGTGTGTGCGCGCGCGCTAATTCAGCATCACTGGGAAATGTCGGGGGGTAATTCACTGACTGGTCAGCA